AGAAGGAAAAGGGGAAGACCACCAAATTCCTGGAGAAGAGAAATTACAAAAACAATGCAATCTAGAGGCTTAGAAGAGGGAGATTGGGGAGATAGGAAAAGATGGAGGCTGAAATGCGGGAAGCGGCAATCGCCGTAGGACCCCCGTTATATGATGATGATGATTGTTTAGTTTATTTTTCAAGTTATAATAAATATATCATTAGGTAGTTTCTTTCACTTCAAAAGATATACACATAAACGATAATAGCCGTTATGTTTGTTTATGTAGGTACTATCTTACTTGAAACTACTTTTAAACAATCATAGTTACTTGTTTATGAAAATTAAAATTTTTAAATGCTTTTTAGCATTCAAAAAAATTTAAATTTTTTTGGAATCCTGAGAAAACTAACAAATATTTTTGAAAAATTTAAATGCAGAATGAAAGATTACATTATTACCGAGGGCCGAAGGTCCCTTAGAATAAACAAAATGTTTTTTTAATGAGATATTTGAAATTAAAAATCACACTAAATTTTGTTTTTTTTTTCATCCCTATAACTTATTAAAATAAACATTATAGAAGTTTTCAGGGACTTTCAGCTCTCGGTAATAATGTATTGTTTCATTCTGCGTTTAATTTTTTCAAAAATATTTATTAGTTTTCTCAGGATTCGAAAAAAATGAATGCATTTAAAAAACTTTGGTCCGAAATTTTGCTCCTACGCTCTTAACGATAAACTAGCACGACCCACCTCTACTTCTCGTTACTCGATCTTTTGACCAGACGTGACCAGACGACTATCTAGACTAGACATTGCCAAATAAATTAGTGTATGAATATTTTTTAATTTGGCGTTATTGTATGCATGTTTAATTGTTTATTATTTCATATTGGGAAATTATTTTGATGTTTAGATTTTTAGTTCGGAAATCGTACTTAAAATACGAAACATTAATAAATTTTATTTATATAAAACGATTTCCGAAATGGAAATCAAAATGTTATATTACAATTATTGTAAAGAAAACTTGTGGCATATTCCCAATAAAAAAAACAGTAACCTGCCATTTAAATCAATTTCGCCCAAATTTGATTATCTTGAGCATTTTATCTTCTTGATAGAACATTGTTCAAATGCAAAAAAAGACAACAGGTCAAATAAAACCAATAAGTTTGGCAACGTTGAATTTCCCCTTTTTTAATATTTCCATTCGGCGATATAAAGGGCGTACCTAATATACCTCTCTCTTTTTAAACAGCTGTTTCTCACTCCATCTCACGTAAGGTCCATACCGACCATAAAATTTTTCCTACACTGTATATCTATATATATATATATATATATATATATATATATATATATATATATATATATATATATATACAAATTGTTTAACACACAGTATTATTGTGTATAAATGTAGCCACAGTACATTTGATCTGAGACGAAAGAAGTATGTCAATGCTTTGGGGTTTAACATGTTAAAGCTTGGATTCATTAAGAGGCATACCAGAGATTTTCGTAGGACTGCATCTCTAAAAACTATATTTTCTCTTGTACGCTCCTAAATTAAAAATTCAACTGTGATCTGGTTTCCCTTTACTCAACCATGTATGGAGAAAGAGAGAGATCAGAGAAAATTTTTGATATACTGTTATTTTAAATTAGGTAGACCATATTCTTATTATGGTATAATCAATTTCTTGAATCTAGATTCTCTTGCCACCAGAAGAGTTAACTTTGAGTTGATCTTTATTATTAAGTTTGTTAATGGAATAATCTAATCTTCTGAATTGATTCAGCTAATTTGTTTTCATATTCCTTCCCTTTCACTGCATTCAATTCAATTTTCCATGTTCCTCATCACATAACTAATTATGATTCAAATAGAGATATAATCTGAATTCCTATGCATGCTAATTAGATCATCATCTAGCCTCTAACGTCCACTGCTGAACATAGGCCTCTCGCATGCTTTTCCACTTAGTCCGATTTTGCGCCATCTGAATCCAATTTGTAGTCACTCTTTTTATGTCATCTGTCCATCTCGTTGGGGGTCGACCTCTATTTCTGTAAGCTTGAATTCGGGGTCTCCATTCCAAAATTCTTTTTGTCCACCGGTCATCAACTGATCTTGCTACATGACCTGCCCAGTTCCACTTTAGTGTTGTTATCCTTTCAATAACGTCTGCTACTCCTGATCTTTTGCGTATAGTAGCATTGGGTATTCTATCACGTAGAGAAATCCCTAACATAATTCTCTCCATTGCTCTTTCCGCAACTTGTAGTTTACTCACTGTTGTTCTTGTGAGCGTTAGGGTTTCTGCGCCGTAGGTCATCACTGGCAAATATACTGCTAATTAGATACCTCACAAGAAAGATATGTTTAACTTATATATCAATAGCTTTACACACTATTTGAAGCACTGAAATACTAAAATGCAAAATGGTACTTTGTACGAATAAGTGTGTACTTACTTGTACACATACATGTAAAATATACTTCATGTATATTTTATTTAGAGGTTTCAAAGAATTCAATGAATTGCCTGATGGATTAAAACACTGTAGGATAGTTAAATGTTTTAAAGATAAATTAAAGTTTTTTCTTAAAAATATAAAGTAATATTTGAAAATTTTGGCAGAGAAAATGCACAATATTTTTGATTTTGTCGACTTTTTTTGTTGTTGTTGAATTGATTGCAATTTGTTATTGATTTTGAGAATAAATTGAAGGTTTTCCTTACGAATATAAAGTGATATTGGAACTGACAGTGAACTTACACAATATTCTTGTATATTTTTATTGACTTTTTTTTGTTGATAAACATTTTGTTGATTTCAATTTGTTATTAATTGATTTTCTTTTGTTTCTATGTAAAAAAATTATTTAAGTTGAGTATGACCACCAGGTATAAAGGTTGAAGTAGAATAGAATACAATAGTTTTGAGGGTTACTAATCCCTAAATAAAGTTGCCAGTGTCGGAGTGATTGAGATTAACAGGTACTAATGAATTTGTAAGAAATGTAAGATGTTTATTTTATTGGCTTTATATAAAATAATTTGTGGCCGTAACAGAGGCCGATTTGTAAAAAAATTAATATTATTTTAATCAAATTCCATTTCAGATTCACTGCTTTCTTCAGAATCTAAGGAATCTTCAACTCCAATGTTAATTATTACCGGTTCCAGCATTGCATCAGTCATATTATCCAAATTCCACATTTTATTTTCATTCTTGTGAGCATGACTAACAGCATTTTTCCAATTTTCTGGAGTTACTTTTGATAAGGAATGTTCTAATAATTGTTGTAAGTCTTCTAATTTAAAAGTTTTGTTGTTGCGTCCGACGTCACCCTTTACTTGAGACCATATATTTTCTATCGGATTCAGATCACAGTGGTATGGGGGTAAACGTAAAATAATTACATAACTGTTTAATGCCATTTCATCAATTATATATTTTTTATAAGCTGCTTTATATTGCCTTACAATAGGTAATAATTCCTTTTTTGTCGAATTCTCCTTGTACTCAATTGCGTGTTTATCCAACCATTCGATTATCTCTCCTTTTTTTCCCTGCCGTTGTTGACAATTTTTCTGCTAGTCTTGAATGGTAACTAGCATTATCCATAACTATGACAGAATTTTTTGGAATTAAATCTAACATTTGCTCAAAATATTCTTCAAAAACGTCAGCAGTCATTTCCTCGTGGTAATCTTTGGTTTATTTTGAGGCAAAACTTAATAATCCACCATTGACAAAACCGTATTCGTTTCCAATATGGGTTATTATGAGTCTGCGTCCTTTTCCAACGGGAATATTGTTTATTCCAGTAGATACACCTTCGATGAATGCCTGACGGGAACTTTTCACACTTGTATCATCCCATAGATATGGTACAGTATGACCTTCATTTAGCCAAGACTCGTCCAAATAAAAAATTGTTTGCCCTTCTTCTCGGTACTTTTTAATAGTTCTTAGATAATCTCGTCTCCAACATACAATGTAATCTTTTTCAATTAAAACGGATTTTCTTCTATTCTTTTGTCAACGAAATCCCATCTCTCTCAATAGTCTCCATAATTTCTTGTTGCTTATGATTGGTAACTCTTCGTTTTCTCTAATTAATGTTTGGATTTTGTCCAATGTGGGAAATTCTTTGTTAAAAAAAATGAGTGATCAGAAAAAAACAATTTCCAAGGGTTTACTCCCTCCACTCTTCTTGAGAGATGAAACAGTTGCTCATTTTCTTTCTTTTAAGAATCTATAAATTGTTGCTTCTCCAACCCCTGTCATATTTGAACACATGTTAACGATTTCACAAATATTACTTAAAGGGCGTTGATATACAAGTGCATCGTGTACATTTAATATTATATTTTTCTCTCTTAGACTGAAGGCACCTTTAAAACTACACTTAACCGGGATAAAACCTGTTGTCGACGTCATTTTTAAATGCAATTAACAAAATATCGACACCAAAAACGTAGGTAGGTAAGACATGAACAATGTACATCTACAAACTAAATGGAGGAGGCAAACAATTTCTAATTTATATTATTGGTATAAGCTGTAATGTGGCATAAAAACTACTTAAACTTTCATTAGTGAAGCCTTATCAGTAATTCCAGGTAATCGTTCGAAGAAGGTATTCTTTTTGTGTCAGGCGATAACTTGTATAAAAAACAATAATCACCTTTAAATTACTGTTTACATTAATTTATTTCGTGAAACATAGAATTCTCTCGTTAATCACCCGTGTATAATTAACAATAATCGTGTGGCATATATACCGACGTTTTTTACGCACAAAAAAGGTATAGTGAGATTAGTGGACACTTATTTTACAGAAGATTTTTTAAAAGATAATGAATTGTTTTTAATGTTTTTTTTTAATGGGTTTGTCTCGTTTGTTATCAATAAATAAATATAATCATCTGTTAAAGGTTTATTTCTCTTGACTTATACTAATTACCAACTGTTCTCAGATAAGTGTTTATATTTATAGATGATACTACCGAACAACCTGAATATCCTGGAGAAATGTTAGCACCTACAGCGCTGCCACCTAAGAAAAAGAAAATTAAGGAAGAACCAGTGGAACCTGTCAAAAGATCTACTCGTACCAAGACCAAGAAAGTTCGTGACTATTCAGAGGTAAACTTTTTTGATACTATCTTTCTGTCATATCGGTTAAATATTCATATAAGGTCATTTAGGTATAATAAACAAGGTGTGTGTAAGATATCTTAGGTTTTAATCCATATTTTAATTTTTTAAAATTTTTTCTTGCCTTGAACGTTGCAGTAATTTTAATAAATCAATAATGAGTACCTACATTAGATTAGATTGTAAGAGTTCGTTAAGGGCATGCAGCCCCACCAGACTTCGACCTTTAGAGATCTTTTATGCATACCTAGTGGAACTCTAGGATGCCAATACATCTGATGAAGTTGATTGGCTTCCTAGGTGATGTGTTTCTCATGTCACAGGGCGCTAGACTGACCTTTCCTAGTAACTTTAGTCATTTGCAGAACAGTGTTATGCAGTTGCAGTTTCTTTTTTGGTGTCACAGAAACGACAGTTCTCACTATCTGATCTGCCCATTTTTTGAGATGATATATATCAACGTGATCACAGTGATCAGTGAGAAGGCCAGTGACCATTTTTATATATTTTTTACTCATTTCGAGAAGGCAGTTTGTTGCAGTAGGCGACACTTTTATGAGCCCTTTTGCTAGCCTTTGTCCTGGTGTGTTAAACCAGTGTAATCCTAGTTGATTGAGTTCCCAGGTCCAGAGTTCCTCTCTAATGTGGCTTTTCGATAGTCCACAGAAGGGTTCTTTATACTTGGAAATCTCCAGCCAATAGAGCTCAGAACATAATAAGAAATCAGATAGACTTCATTCTTATCAACGGTAGATTCGGCACAACTGTCAAAAGAGCTTGCACATACCCTGGAGCAGATGTCCCTTCTGACCACGTACTATTAGTGGCCGTCATAAGGATCGCTGTTTCATGCAAGAACAAGCCTGAAACTCAACAACAGATAGCACTTGATAAACTGAAAGACCCAATGATACAAGCAGAAATAAGCAATGAAATAAACGCACAAATTCAAATATTGACGACAAACATTACCGAAGATCTAACACCAACATGGAATACGATTACAAGTGCTGTAACAGATATCATGAAAAGCAACTTAGGGTACAAACGAAATAACAAGAGGCAAAAATGGATGACAGAAGAAATACTATTAATAACGACGACGACATAATTTACATAAAAAGCTTAAGGAGACTGCTGGAATATACAGAAAACGAAGACCAACTACCATAGTTAATCAGGATAACCAGATAGTGCTGGGTGAAAAGGAGAAAATTTATATATGGGAAAATTATATCCAGGAGCTCTTCCATGACGAAAGACCCATGAGTGAAGTTTATACAGACGACCAGCTGACTGGCCCTTCAATCACCAAAGAGGAGATAGAAAAGGCGATATTGAATTCAAAAAACAATAAGGCACCTGGACCAGATGAAATCTCGTCAGAAATACTCAAATTACTAGATGAAAGGGGAATTTCAGCACTACACAAAATATTTAATTTAATTTATGAAACTGGCTGCTATCCTCAACAGTGGTTACGCTCTACCTTTATTCCCCTGCCCAAAAAGTCAATGCAAAAAGATGTGAGGATCACAGACTCATTAGCCTGATGAGTCACACTTTAAAGATATTCTTAAAAATACTACATCAAAGATTATACAAAAAATGTGAATGGGATATCAGTGATTCCCAGTTCGGGTTTAGGCAAGGTTTAGGAACACGAGAAGCAATAGTAGCAACACAGGTGCTGGTCCAAAATTGTTACGATCAGAGGAAGGATGTGTTCCTATGCTTTTTAGATTACCAAAAAGCGTTTGATGGTGTCCAACACCACAAGTTAATGCAGATTCTCAAGAAAGTTGATATAGACCAAAAAGACATAAGATGCATTGAAAACTTGTACTGGTATCAAACGGCACAGTTAAAAATAGACAATTCTATATCCAAACCCATACATATAAGAAGAAGCGTTCGACAGGATGTGTGCTTTCCCATCTTTTATTTAACATTTATTCGTAAGCCATATTTCAAGAGTCTTTGGAGGATGCAGAGATAGGAATCAAGGTGAATGGAGTATTGATTAACAACATACGATATGATGATGATGGTGTCTTAATTTGTGACAACATAGTCGATCTTCAACAACTTGTCACTATAATCGGAAGTAAAATGTCGCATTGGACAAGCTAGACAAGCTTTCGTAAAATTCAAGAAGTTACTGACTTGTTCAGAGTTCGATCTTCAACTCAGACTAAGGTTTACTAAGTGCTACGTATGGTCAGTGCTGCTATATGGCGTAGGGGACTGGACACTCAAAACGAGGGATATAAACAGATTTGAAACTTTCGAAATGTGGCTTTATCGCCGTATCCTAAAAATACCATGGACAGCGAAAATCACAAATATAAATGTCCTTAAAAGAATAAACCAAGAACGCCAACTTTTCGAAACCATCAAGAAAAGGAAAACGGCGTATCTAGGTCACATCATGCGAAATGAAAAATACCAGTTCTTCCAACTTATAATCGAGAGTAAAATCGAAGGCAAGAGAGGAATGGGACGCAAGAAAATGTCCTGGCTCCGAAACATAAGGCAATGGATAGGGATTAACGACATACATATTGAAAGAAATAGAGAATTAATGGAAAATGTGATCGCTAACATCCATTAGTGGATTTGCATCTGAAGAAGAAGACATAAGGGTTCTGTACACTTCTATCTTCTTCGGGTATTAGCCCCTTTTTGCAAGGCTGTCAGCTTCCTCATTTCATGCAATTCCATTGTAATCTGGCACCCACATCAAAGTTAATTTTTGCGTTCTGCCAGCTTCTTGGGGGATTGAAAGTCTCAAACCAACTTTACTTAACATTAATGCCTATAGTATATATTTCTGCCTAAAAGATTTGGATAAGCTGAAATTGGGCCCAGTAACTCCCACTCTTGCCCTTTCATCTATTTTAGATCCATCCATATACCATATGTTCATATATCTACAGACATCGGTTAACCCCAATAATAATACATCTGAGGAAATAAAAAGGCGAATAATAATTGCAAACAGGTGTTATTATGGTCTATCAAAGTACCTAGCTAACAAACGTCTGTCTCAAAAAACTCGTATAAGGCTGTATAGAACACTGATAGTCCCCGTTCTCACATACGGATCAGAGGCATGGACGCTAACGAAAACAGATGAATCCGCTCTATCCATTTTTGAAAGAAAGGTGCTACGCAAGATATTTGGAGCGGTCTGTGAGAACGGAATATGGAGGCGTAGATATAACTTCGAACTGCAGAATATCTACAAGCATACGTTTGGTGGTAAATATATTACCACTATAATTAAGCGAAACCGCCTGCAGTGGGCAGGACATGTAGCCCGGGCCCCTGAATCGAACATGATAAAAAAGATTCTAACAGCGCAACCTGTGGGAATGAGACGACGGGGTAGACCAAAGCTGAGGTGGATGGATGGGGTAACACAAGATGCGGAGAAGATCGGAGTCGGCAACTGGAAAATTCAAGCAAGGGACAGAACAGAATGGCGTAGAAAGCTTGAGAAGGTCGAGGCCCTCTAAGGGCTGTAGCACCAAGATGATGATGATGATGACCATATACCATTTAAGTGAACCTTTTTCCAGTTTCTGTTTAACTTTTTCACCCAATAGGTGTTTTTTTTGACTACTTCAAACGGTGTTTCGATGTCAAACTTGACTGGAATGACATCGTTCGGCCTATTCTTAGAACCCAATAGAATTTCTTCAAAGATTTTTAGCTAGCCAACTAGATCTTCAGGTTTCTTTATTTGTGTCTGTCGCAGTTTTAAGGCGGTAGTTACTGCCTCCCTCCTTATGAAGAACTGCAAGGAAGGAAGGTTCAGCATCGCTTCTAGAGCGGCAGCAGGACATTTTGATATTGTCCCTGTGATTCTGATAATCCTTTATATGACCAGAGGTTCATTTTCGGTTTTAGGCCCCAAGTTTTTCCAAATGTCTTGCGGCAGGTCCAACTTGCCACCAAAGCTCTGGATAAAATTTTTTTAATATGAATATTCCAAGTGTTTTTGATCTAGGATTACTCCCAGATATTTTACTTCTTTGTAATAGTCTAATGTGATGCCATTCATAAATAATTGGAGCCAGCAAATCGTATTTACATCTCCCACTATTCTTTCGACTTGTGAACAAGTTTTTTCAATACTTTCGACTTGTGAATTCGGAGAGTTCAAATGAATGTTTATGAAGTGGTCTCGTTTGAGTTTCTCTTATGTAATTCATTGTTTTTAGGAGAAAGGAGGAGAGACATATGGGGCGATAAGACTTTGGTTCGTCTGTAGCACGTTTTCCCGTCTTTCGTATAAATACCACCTTTGCGTCCCTCCAAGTTTTTGAAATGTGATCTAACACAAGGCTTGCTATAAAAAGCCACTGTAATTGCAGCTGTATTTGCATGAAGCCTTTTTGGAGTAAAGCAGAAAATATTCTGTCCTTACTGGAGAATTTAAAAGATTTGAAGCTTTTAATGGCCCATTCGATTTTGTTTTTTGTAAAGATTTTTTCCGCTAGTTGCCTGCTGGATCTGTTGAGGTCCCTTGGAACCTCTGCCAGCTGGATACTCTGCGGTTCATCTTCTAGTATTTGTCGAGAGCCAGGAAAATGAGTATTTAACAGCTCTCAAATAATTTCTGTTAGGCTCTCTGTATAGTTACTATTCAGGTTTTTCAATGTAGTCAGTTCGATTTCATTTGTGTGATCTTTTTAGAGAACTTTTTGAAGTCGTTGTGGTAGGGGCAGTACGTACATAATTTATAAATTTTTTTCATTAAGAAGTTCCTTAGAAAGGATTAAAATTTCCATTCAATATAAATTTCCCATTGTCAATTATTTCAGTTAAGATTTAAATTCTGTCTCTTTAGAAGAAGACATTTAAAGACACCAAAAGTAGTCATTTTAATTAATACTGTTTGCATCTCTAGTATCCTTTCTTTATATTTTAAGATCTGCAATGGTAAACCTTCGGACGTAATGATTCAAAATACAACAGTAACAATGATTGACATAACAGACGAGAAGGAATCTGACAATGAAAGGATACAGACTAAAAAAGAAACTGCTGCTTTAGCTGTAGAAGCTGCCACCGAAACAAGAAGTACAAGGACGAAAACGAGGCAGAAGAAAAAAGAGGTACAAGAGGAAAAGAAAATCGAGGAAGTTGCAGTTGAAGCTCCTCGTCCCAAGACAAGAAAGAACAAGAGAAACAATGAGGAAACAGAGAAGAAGGTAAGTGATTTTTATACTTTTTGTTTTATTTTTAGAGAATTAAAGTGAGAACATTTTTACTTGGTATTGTTATTTGCATATTTTGTTTTTTCTTCGTTTGCTTAACACTTTCTGGTTGAGTTTACCGAAAGTACAAGCTGATTATAGCCCAAATGTCAAACATGGAACAAAAAGTTTCGATTTCGCAGTGTTGGCATGATTTTATAATGTATATGCTGTATGCTTCAAATATAAAGAGATGAAGCTTTAGAAAAGTATTTTGATTATATTATGTTAATAATTCTACAATTTTTGATTTATATAAAACAATAATGAGTAAATATTTATTTCTTTATAGATTACTTGCAGTTAATAGAAATTTTTTATGGCAATTGCCCTTTGATCGATTACATATTTATCGGATATATTTGGCAATCGTCACAACAGCAGTTGCGAGATTGCAACATATATGTGCAATTATTCTCGAAAGAAACAAATATTTACTCGTTATTGTTTTATAAAAATTAAAAATTGCAGAATTCATAAAAGAGTATATTCAAAATATACTTTTTTAAAGTTTTCTCTCTTTATATTTGAAGCATACAACATATTCATTATAAAAACATCCCAACACTGCCAAACCGAAATATTTTATTTCATGGTTGACATTTGCGGCTATATTCAGTTTGTACTTTCGTAAACTCAACCCACTATCTCTTTAGTAACCTTTCGCTGACTCCCGTACCTTCTGGTTTATTTCGGTAAAGCTGTTTTGTTCCCCTTGTTTCGGACATACTCCTTACCCAGCTATTATATTGGGTTCCCAACGTAATATACTTGCAATCATACTTACTATTAGATGTCAAGTGCAGAAGGTGCATGGACTCGCTTGTGTAGGCATCACGGGTGCAATGTGATTGTGCTGTTACATTATTATGAGTTGATATATATATATATATATATATATATATATATATATAATATATATATATATATATATATATATATATATATATATATATATACCATGTGCAGCTTTGTCGACCGTTTCCAATTACGGTGCAGCCTCCCTTATTTCAATGTTATTCTATGTTCTTATTAGTATTCGACGATGTCTTAGTTATTCGTTGTTCTTGTAATTTGCGCTCATTTGCGTCCATATTTTTCTATCTTAAGCTATTCGAGACCACGTTGTTCCTGTTAATTTTCTTATATCATAATCCCATCTGAGATTCGGGCGCCTGTTTGGTCTCTTAGCGTTCCTGGGATACCACATAGTTGTTCTAGTGGTCCATCTGTTGTCTGTTTGTCTTGCTATATGTCCTGCCCATTGCCATTTCAGGGATTTTATTATTTGGATTACATCAGTCACCTGGGTTTGCCTCCGTATCCATTCAATTCTTTTACGAATTATATTTGCCTCTTTATATATATATATATATATATATATATATATATATATATATATTAATGAATATATGAATGAGTTGCATAGCTATAAGGCCTGTATCAAATTTCACTAACTGGAGAATCTATTTTGAGTGTGTTAAGGTCAAGGTTTCAAATACAAGTAATTCATTTTGGTCGGGCTTGTGTTTTGTATGAAGCGAACAGTTGGACCACATTTTGGTCAGTCAGATATAATTGGGAATTATATTTCTGATTCTTTGTTATCTAAATTTTATGTAATTTCTGTTAATATATTTAAATATGCAACCTCGTACCTACTCTACAAATCTATTGAGAGTATATCATTTTAGACCAGACTATGATGACACCCCCCTTTGCGTTTTAACCCACAATAAATAAGTCTCAAATCTCTATTTAGTCTTATTTGTTCTTTTTTGTTTTGTGAGTTTGTAATTATCACAATATATGGGCTTTATGTTAAAATGCTATGTATTCAGTACTTTGCTTTACGGAGTTGAGGCATGGACTCTTAAACAGAGGAATGTTAAAAATCTTGAAAGCTTTGAGATGTGGTGCTACCGCCGTATACTAAAAATAAGTTGGGTGAATAAAATTACAAGTGAAGAGGTAATACGCAGAATAAATAACGATCTAGAAGTTATACTGAATATAAAAAAGAGAAAACTTGAATACTTGGCCACCTGATGAGAGGACAAAAGTACACATTCCTACAAAATATAATGCAAGGAAAAATCCAAGGACGCAGAAATCCAGGCCATAGAACAATGTTCTGGATGAGAAATTTAAGAGAGTGGTTTGGCTGTACCACTAACGAATTATTCAAAACAGCAGTAAATAAAATTAGAATCGCTCTAATGATGTGCAATCTCCGATGGGAGAGGCACTCAAAGAAGAAAGATGGGCTTTACTACAGTCTTGGATGTAACGCTGGACCTTCTTAATCTGCATATCTATACATATCAAGAGTGTCGATTTAGAAAGTGCCGTTCGGGTAACACGGACTCGGCATCTAAAGCAAAGCAACCTTAATAGAGATCTGGGGATTTTAAGGGTAGGCAGATTCTATAAACATTCGTGCTATCCCTGCGGTGTGTGCCATCTTTGCTTATTGTCAGCTAAAAGTGGACAAATGCGACATGGGTTGTAGGCTCTTATGTCAATGATAAAATTCAATTCGAAGAATTTTTCACCGGTTTATGATTGTTGATGAAACATAGGATGCGAAAGAATGGGATGCGAAAAGAAATATTCACATTCATTACTTGATGTTAGGAAAAACGCCCTGATTTGCGCCGAAAAACAATTCTCTTTCACCAAAACGGGACTAACCGCCAGAATTCGTGTGACATTTTTCTATTTTTTAAATTAAAAATAGCTCCGATAACACTTTTTCGACATAAAATAGCTGAAAAACCTGCTTATAAAGCTCATTGAGCGATCTAAAATAATTAATGAAGTTAAAGTATCAAAGAAGAAATAACCAAAATATCCAAAATCACAAATCCATATAACCTAACCCAATTATTAAGATCAGAAGATTACAATATTTATCAAATTTTGTACACACATATTTTATATATTAGAGGCACCACGTTGGGACCGCCAATGTAATAAAAAAATGTGTGGACTTCGAGGTTTAGGATGTCGATGTAATAAAAGTGTATATGTGTAATGTAACACAAGTACTTGGGGTAATGTAAATGATAACATATAATTTAAAGCTGGCTAGCAGAAGGTGCCGGAGAGTGACTACTTGACACTCAAAAGAGGATTCGGCCAATTTGCATGCCCTACAGAGATCGTAGAATAAGAAAATGAATGAGGTAATAAACAATCTACAGGTATATAACTAAGGTAAATAAAAGTGATAATAGAAGTCGCTCCAAAATGTGAGTGGGCGTCAGAAAAGTATTAACATAAACTTTCCAAGGTATCTTGTAAAGCTGTTTGCTGAAATAAAGAGGGAAACAGCTATTAATTGAAATATTTTGTTTTTACCAGAAATTTAATCCTTATCCAAATATATAAAGTCTAAATTTGCCCTAAAATACCCACCAGCAATTATGTACAGTTAATCTAGTTACTTATATACAAAAAGAATATAAATACCCTGGTTACACACAACTGATCCTTGATAATCTGAATTTACAAATAATAAAATATAAGAATAAATTTAATGACTATGCCTAAAAAGGTAATTTACTTGCCTGCTAGAGATGTAACTCGGTATTTCGGCTTTCAATTAAATGTCTTAACAAGTAATAAGGACACTAGCCTGACGGGATAGACGTCCAAAGGTTTAAATATATAATAATAATAAAATATTAATAAATAACTCTCTGATTAAATGTGTACACATAAAACCGTACAACTGAGTCAAAAGGGAAGATTTAAAACCTCGACCTGTAGTTGACAATTTTAGTGCTTATGTTATTTATATTTATTAAAAAAAAATTACGGGTCTTTATTATTAAATGAAATAGTATGATTTAAGATAGAAAAAAAATATTATGAAAAAATTATTAACAATTAATGAATAAAACAATATAAAAATGAACAATGTTCCACACTCTAAATAAGGGAGGTCTTTCTTGCTGGTTCCCTGAAGTGGTCCGAGAGTAGTCTTAGAGAGATCTGGACCTCTGATGGAACAGCTAAGAGTGACGGGCAAATGTGCAAATTCAAAACGTAATTCTTTTTTTTCTCTTTTAATAAATCCCAAAAAAAAATAAATGAAAAAATCCTTGACTCTGGATTTAACTTCTTAGGTAGGCTTAAAAGAACAATTGTGTTATAGTTCCTCCTTACGCTTAATAAATGTATTTCTTAACTGAGTTGCGCAAACCAGGCCAGTAATATAGCTCAGCTATCTTACGAAAAGTTTTGTAGAGACGAAAGTGACCTGATGTCACATCATCATAAAAGGTTTTCAACACTTCATCCCTATTAGCTGTTGGGACTACTATTTTTCAATCAGACCTATTCGATAAATATTCGACAGGACTGATAACGTGTTTATAAAGGATATTATTTTCCACCTTGAAATCAGGATATCTACTAGGTTCTTGGGTGACATTATGAATCATCTTTCGATACCAAGTATCTGGAAATAAAGTGGACAGATCTAAAAGATTGATATCAAACGTTCGAGTAATTATAGTAAACTTACGACCTTCAAGATAGTACCGAAAGGCATCAAGACTATGAATAATTGCAAGAAGTTCTCTTTCTGTGGTGGAATAATTTTTCTGGGCTTTATTAAGCTTTTTGTTAGTATAAGCTATTGGGTGTTCCGAACCATCCTTTAGCTGAAATAGTGCACCACGTGAAGCAGTGTTGAAACAATCTGTCATGAGGTAAAAATGCTCTTTAAAATTCGGAGACGTCATCACAGGAGCACTAGTAAGAGGTTCTTTTATACGCCGGAAAGCATCATCGGCTTCTGAGGTCCATGTAATAGTTTGGTCTTTTTTCCTATTTTTAAGCAAATCTGTAAGTGGGGACAACAAAGTAGAAGACGAACAAACCGACGATAATATCCACACATTGCCAATATCCTACGGACTTGGGTGGTAGTCTTAGGTATAGGA